AAGTCGCGGCGGCTCCCGGGAGCAGGGAAGGAAGCCGGTCCCTTTTCCCACCCCCCAAGGAAAGCGTTTAAAGCCTCCCGATTTTACAGCAACGGGGGGGGGGGCAGGAGAAGCGGAGAAACACCTATTTATTCGTTCATTTATTTTTAAACTTTTATATCGCCCATCTGGCTGCCAAGGCCACTCTGAGCCGTTTACAACACAACATAACAGCAAACAATTGAAAACAGTAAGCACAAACAGTAAACGTAACAGCAAAACAACAACAACACACACACAAATTAAGGACGGCACACATAAACAAAGCTATATAAAATTAGCTAAAAATGAATGACTTAAAAGGCAAGGTGGCGGAACTGATAATTTGCACTCAAGTTCTTAGGTTTTCAAATCAAAACTGCACGATGTTTTTAAAAGAGGAAGCCAAGGTGGAGGACAGGATTCTGAATTTGGGTTGTAACAAATACGCTACTTTTCAACCACTGAGGACACTTGTGCCCTTAAGCAACACAAAATCAAGATGTTTTCAATTACAGGGGAGCTGCCATCACCCCTAATCCTACTCCGCATCTTTACTGGGAGAGACCTAATCAATGGGATTGACCATCTCATGAGAAGAGAAGACTCCTTGGAAAATACCTTGATGTTAGGAAAGTGTGACGGCAAGAGGAGAAGGGGGACGACAGAGGAGGAGATGGCTGGACAGTGTCTGCGAAGCAACCAACATGAAATTGACACAACTACGGGAGGCAGTGGAAGACAGGAGGGCCTGGCGTGCTCTGGTCCATGGGGTCACGAAGAGTCGGACATGACTAAACGACGAAAGTTTATATATATATAAATGCTAAAGTGATGATTCCCCCTCTTGGGGGAGGTCAAGAGAGACACTCAAGGGGTCATTCTGGATTCTTTTCTCAATGCCCATTTTTGTCCTAGCCCTTTACTTCAAAGCCAGGCTGCACAAAAATGTGCGGGAAAGGATGAGTGGCCCAGAAAGGTATTTTCTGATTGAAAAATAAAGGAGGGATGATTGTGGCCGGTGCACAAGGGTGTGATGGCCCCATTCCAACGTGAAAGGGAAGCAAGCCAAAGGAAGCAGAGGCCAGTCCGTGTCAAAGGAAAGCTGGGGCTTTGGATCCCACTTGCTCCAACCCTGCCAGGGCCTGGCCAAGCACCCACCCAGGGCTTCCTGCCCATAGCCATCCTCTCCAAAAAGGGTAGCAGCAAGTCAACAAACAGCCCTTCACTCCCCCTCATTTACTCCCAAGAAGATTCCATTGGCATTGACTGGGGTGGATTTTAACTGGGCTGCTCTAACTGGACTTTGCACACAGAAGTCCTGTTTGGCCTAAGCTGTCCAAGAAGGCAGCGACTCTGTGAAGTGTACTTGAGAAAATGAGCTGTCGTTTCCCCACCCACCCAAAAGAGCCAAACAAGAGTTGGTGCTGCAAGATCTCTCATTCTCCCTCTTGGCAATCAGTGAGTCTTGTATAATCTTTAACCTAAAAAAGCTGATCAAACAGCAGTTCTTGTTGACCCGAAAGGGCCACTGAAAAGGATCTGAGTCCTAAATGTGGCCACCTATTTATCAAGGAATACTGACGCAGTCGGAAACCAGAAGAAGGTCTGAGAGAGGCAGCAACTAGACTGAAAAAAAATCTGCAATGTCAGCCTGGAAGTTTGAAATCCAGTGGAGCTGTTGCAGAGCTGGGAATAATGCAATTTTTTTTGGGGGGGGGACATAATCCCAGAACCCCCCTATCCGCATGGCCAGGCGAAACAGCTGGAGGCTTCTGGAAACTGTTGTCAGAAAGGTGCCTTTTCCTGCTTCTCAGGACTTTGTTCTCACATGCACTATTTTGGTAGGCACCACCTTACTTCAGCAGAAGCAGTAAAGCAAAGTGTGCTGCTTATATATTGCTCAATAGCACTTAAAGCACTCTCTGGGTCGTTTACAATTTATGCAGGCTACACGTTGTCACCACCGTCACCACCATCCCAGTAAGCTGGATAATCAAATTTACTGACCTCAGAAGGATGGAAGGCTGCATCAACCTCAAGCCAGCTACCTGAACCCATTGGGATCAAACTCAGGTCATGAGCAGAGAATCAACTACAGTGCTGCAATTTAACCACCATGCCATGAAGCTCCAGTAATGTGAACGGAAAGATCCTCCCTGGCAGAACAGGGCGCATTCTTTCCTTGTGGAACCCAGTCGGTTACTAGACATTTGGACTGATTCATACAGGTATATATGCCATTGGATATGCCATCCCAACATAATTATCATTTAAGTACGGAAATAGTCTACATTAAATATCATTGCATTGGAAGCAACACAGCAGCTCAGAGGGGAGAAGGATGTTGTCACCAATCATGGTTGTTTCACCTTAAAAAGTAATCAATTCCTACTGTGATCAGCAGGCGATTAATGTGTGTTAGTAAACCTTCCCTCTCTTGCCTATTTGGTGTGATAGGTGGGAATCGTAAAGCCCACCCGCAACCTACTTTGGAGGAGTGATAGATTATGGATTATGAAGATGAATAAAAAGGCATAAGCCCCCCCCCCAGCCTCATGCCTAAATCCATATTCCATAAATTTCCCATCCCAGACGTTAGGAGTCCTTTGTGCTGTCACCTTGCAAGGCAACGAAGGGGAAAAACAACATTTTGTAGAGCAAGCCCCCACCCCCTCCCCAAAGGAAGGCAAAGACTGTGGTGCAGAACAACAAGATTTCAATAGCTGGTTAAATAGAGCGGGCACAATTAGGAGTAGATCACTTGATCTTCATAAGCTGAAACACCTTGAAAAAGCTTTTAGAAAAACAAAGGTGTTGCCATTTCCGGTTGTCCCACAATGAAAAGCTCTTTTGCAGACTCCAACAAAGCTGCCTCTTTTGTAGACAGCCTCCTTCTACAACAGGGGCTCCCAACCTTGGGCAATCTTGGAGTGCAACTCCCCGTAATCCTGGCCAGCTCAGATAATGGCGAAGCCTTCTGAGAACGGCTGTCCAAGAACACCTGGGTGACCCAACTTTGGGAACCCCTACGCTACCACACTTAAATCTTTTCAAAGGCAGTTCAGGGAGGAAGGCATGACCTACTCTGGACCTGCTCCTTCCCTTGTGACAAAGCTTGTGAGCTCAGACACACTGAAAGCAGTTCCATGTTTATTGTGTGAATCATATGTTCTAAGACGGTGAGCTGAATTTTAGCCCCTTCTCTTCTTCCAGCAAGTCTGTGGGTGGGTTGGGATGAAACCTAACACCACTAGGTCACTGCAGAAAGCCCCCTGTGAATATCTTCAGAGTAGCAAAGGTTGCTGTGCAAGGCCCAGTGGGGTGCTGCCCCACTCCAGATGTGGGCTGTTCTGGCTAGCCAGCTCCTGCACACCTGTGTTCCCTTCCCCTGCTGTATATGTGGATGCTTGTCTGCCTGTGTGCATATGTATATGAATACCCACTTTTGCCTCTGCTCTACCTGGCTTCACCTCTTATTCCACTTACCTGTATTGTGTCTTTTGCTCTCCTGAGCACAAGGACCAAAGAAAGGGGAGCATGGCAGCCTAGAGCTCACAGCCAGATGTGCTGTGTTGCAAGATTATCAGTGCTAGATCACATCATTTATCTTAGCAATGATAAATAACTGCTCAGCATGGGGGGCGGAAACAGTAAAAGCGATCTTGGAATAATATATATCAGGTTTCTCACCTTCTAAAAATCTCCCTGTCCTCAAACAAACAAACAAACAAACAATTCCCATTGCCTTTCCATCAACTCCAGGATGCAGCTATTATTTCAAGGAAATGACAAACCCAGGTTTTGACTTGTCCTTTTAGACTGACCCCCTGGTTGTTTGTTTTAGCTGGAACCTTTGCAACGGGACGCAAGATACTACAAACCAAGGACCACAAACAGGTTAAAGAGGGATATGCTCACCATGATGGTAAACTTCAGGATGGCCGTGGAAGTAAGATCCTATTCCATGCCCAACAAAGTTGGGGCAGACTTCAAAATTATTCTGACGAGATATATAGCTTTAAGGGAAAATAAAAGCAGAAATGTTTCAGGAAAAAAAAGCAGACATTGCAGAATCCCCAAAAGGAATTAAACATGAACTGCTGGATAGCTCAGTAGTTTAGGTTTTTGGATGAGGAGCGAGAGGTTCAATCCCCCACGATGCCTCCTTGAGAGGGTCTGGACTCCATGATCCATATGGGTCCCTTCCAGTTATGCAGTTCTAAGGTTATTATTATCATGACACTTCCCAGGCTCAAATCCTATTGACCTGCTACAAGCACAGTGGGCTCTTCTACAACTCATACAGGGAAGTATGTCGTGGTTTCTTGCATAAGCATAGGCCCCATTGGCAGCACTCTCTGGCTTAAGCCAAGGCAACCCCGGAGATCTTAGAAGCTCCACAGGTGGAGCATTTCACTCCACCCATGGCAAACAGAATACAAGTCATAGCTTTTAATTAATCATGAACATCAATTATCTACCAAGTCAAAGTAGATTAATGGCACTGCACTTTCACATAAATTGAGGTGTGGCTTCTTAGCAATATTTTGGTGGCAGAGAAGACATTACCGATTAAATTCTTCTAAAAACTGGAAAGATGGTCACAGTTCTAAAGGAGCTGTCTCTCTTCCAAATGTATATCTATGAAATAATGAACACAGCCCACAAAGCATCATCACCACACTGAGGGAATCTCTGTTCCAGAGAGATATGATACATATTTGGGCACTGGATAAGATTCAGAAAACCTTTAGGGTTTCTGAAGGACAATATATGAATTTGTTTTTCAGCAATTTAGCCTAGCATTCAAAAACCAGACAAAATTTGTTGGCAAGCTACATTTAATCAGGAAATTGATACGGCTTGGAAGCTCCATTAAGCATCAGACTAGACTAAACAGAAGCGTAAAGCTGAAAAATTATACACAAAACAATTTACAGTAACACTATGTGCATATGTCCTTACAGCTTTTAAGGAGAGGATGATTTCGCCACAAAGGAGAACTTGGTTATAGTTTGATACTACAGAAAGTTCTTTCTAGCCCCAACCTCATTTCTATATGACACTGCATTATACTGAATCAGGTTACTGGTCTGGGCCAGCCCTACTGGAAGACACACAAGGCAATTATTTCATGCAGTCGATGCTAGGGTTCAACCACTCAATCACTACTCTTGGGTCTCCAGGCAATTTTGTTCAGAGCACAGTTCTGGGAACCCCATGGCCTGTCCTATATCTATGAGACAGACTGTGTTCCTCAGGAGTGATGGAGGTACTGTTCCGCTTATCACGGCTGAAGTAACATTCAGCTGCCCACACATTCTGTTTCTTTGTGTGGAATGAGAGAGGTATTCTGTCCCTTGCCTCACCCAGCAAAGTACCAGGGTCTGGATCTAGGACTGCCCAATCCAGATCAGCAGTGTCTGGGCTGATGAGCAGCATCTCCCTATCATCGCCCACATTCCTCTTGATTGAAGGTGCATGGAACCAATGTTTCCCACCTCCCTAAGTCAATCTGAGGGAAATAAATCCAAAAATGGGCAATGTCCTTTAAAGGCACCATCATACCACTGAGGCATGAGGTGAAGGTTACTGTTCACCTCCTCACTGAGATGCTGTTTTCGTACATCTAGATGGACACAGACAACTGTGCTTGTCACAGTCACTATGGTTGCCTGTGGGGGCATGATTTCCATAAAAAGGAGAAATGTTCCACTGCACCTTAAGACATTTACCACATTTTCCATGTATAAGACACCCCCATGTATAAGACACACACCCCACTTTTCTAATCCAAAATTAAGAAATCTAAGTGGGGCCTAGCAAGTGTAGGAGGAAAGGGATCAAAGTGCTGCAGGATCATTTTGATTCCTGCTTTCCCCTCCAGTTGTTTTTGTTCTCTCCTCAGCTTACTTCCGTGTATAAGACGGCCCTCAATTTTTAGTCTAAAAATTTTAGACAAAAGTATAGTCTTGTACACAGAAAAACACGGTAGTTGTTTCACAACCCAGTAAACCTATTATGGCCAAGCATGCATGAACGGTTAATGTGGATACAAAAAAGCCAACGTGGATCCACCATAGCATGTATTTGCACAGGCTAAGAATTTGACAGTGGCCCTGTGTGCTTGCATTAACATAGACTTCAGATAAAATCAGCACTCTTCCAACTGAGTGATCCTGTATATATGGGGTACATTCATGTGAACTTTAGTATAACAGTTTGAGAGCACAGGTGTTTGTTATGGCAAAAGACAGCAATTTGTAGAACCAAGTTTAAAATAAACATGCCTCTTTGCACAGGAAGCATATTCAGGTCACCATGTCTAACAACCTGGGATTAGAAAGCAAACATTAGCTGAAGTCCTGTTGCAGAAGTTTACACCATGTAATGAAAATCAGGTCAACACCCGACCATGTTACTCTTCACTTTACATTAAATTTTGTATCCCTTGCTTCAGGTTTTGAGGCTCTCTACAGACCTCTTTGCCCCCGGGAAGCCTTTGGGGGTCTTGATGTGGGAAAGAGAAGTATTTAATATCAGAAAATTGTACCAACTGGAGTTCAGCCAGTATCTTGCAGTTATGTTCCTACTCATAAAAGGAATTATTTTTGTTCTGGATTCCAGCCAGGTAGACATGTCTTCCTCAACTACACTATATAAAGTTTTCTGTGTCACAAGCAAGATAATTTATGTGCAGATCCTCCCTCAGTTTCCCTATTTTATGTCTCAGTCAGCTTCATTTATACCCTGCCTGCCCATGAATTATCTCTAGGGTGTAGATATTTCGCCTCCTCTCTCATTTCAGCCTCACCACAACAACCCTGTCAGGCAGGTCAGCCTGACAGAGAATGATGAACCTATGAGTTCTGAGTGAGTTTCGTGGGTTTGTGGGGACTTGTAATTAGTTTCTCACGTCTCCATCTTGTGCTCTAACCACTACTCCATATGAGAAAGGAAGGTGAGGGATGCGGCTTGATAGATGGGGGGTAGGTGGGGGCACCCTTTCCAATTTAAAATTTAAAACATTCTGTCCTTCCCCAAACCTCAGCATTGCCATGAACATCCAAAAATATATCCTGCTTCTGCAATTGCTTCATCTGGGCACCATTTCTATCAAAATGAGGGCATTGAGGGAACAATGAATCACTGTTAAATATATTTCACCCTTCCAGCTCTCACAAGGTAACTGGTTGATGTTATGAGTCAAAGAAATATCTTACAGCAGTCATTTAAGATTTTAATTTAAAAAAAATCCTGCCACAGTTTAAAGGATCCATATTGAAGTTTATGGTCCAACATTCCAGTTCTTCCCAAATTGCCCAATAAGAAGAAAAGCAAGAGGTAGCCATGATGGTCATATGAACTGTTCAAAACTCCCTATTAGTGTAGTGTTTTTATTAGGCCAACTCAATAAACCGTGCATCGTTTTGGAACCTGTAGATTTCTACAATAAGCAAGACATTTAAAAAAAGTAGGGTGGAGGAGGGGAGAGGAGACTTAATGTTGAAGTCGTGTCTGCATGATCAGTCAACATGAATCTCTCTCTCTCTCTCCCTCTCCCTCTGTGTGTGTGTGTGTGTGTGTGTGTGTGTGTGTGTGTGTGTGAGAGAGAGAGAGAGAGATCAACACAGCGACGGAGGGCTGTTATTATTTCTTACTCTCAAAATGAGCACAGTAATTATCTGCCCACCGCAGAACGCAAATGGGAAGTTAAAATGCATGAGAAGCAGCAGTCATACACTGTGCCATGAACATCCTTTTGGTAGATGAGCAAGGAAATCTTGGTATTGTTCTCTTATAACTGAGTTGTTCTCACACATGATGGTCCCGTCGCATGAGATTTATTAGTTCTAAGGAAACCAAAGGCTCAAGGCACTTTATATTCAAAAGGCCAAAAAACACACACAAAAAACAAAAAACAACAAACAACAACAAAAAAAACAAAAAAAAACATTCTTGTTGGCATGATTTCATATAAGACAACCTATTTTCCTCTGGAGGCGAGAGCTTTACACCTTGTGCAGAGCCCATTTACACACAGCTTTATCACATCCAGCCATGGATTTGGCCCATTGCTCAAGAATGTATTCCTAATACAATAGTGCAGCCGCCACAATGAACGGCACCCCAGTGCTGAAAAGTGGAAGAGTGAAGAACTAGGTCAATAACTTTTAATGACGCTCACAGATAACACCTTGAATGGATTTTTTCCTTTTTTTTTTTGAACAGGCCCTATAGATTAGCTACTGCTCGCCTACCACACCAACAAAAAATCTTTAGCTATTACAGTATTTTGTTTGATTCTGGAGCACAGCAGAGTATAGATCTCAAATGTATGACAGCTCAAATGTCTTTATGGATCTGCTAAATACTCACAGGGAGTTAAGTAATGGCACAAAGAAGCAGGAACAGGGAAGTTAAGAGAATTCTTTTCTTTTCTTTTTTTTTAAAGTCTTGATAGGATTGGAGAGATTTTTAACATAGTATTTTGCTGAGGACTCCACAGGAAAAGCCAGAAAGTTAACAGGCACACACATAACACACACACACACACACACACACACACACCTTCTTGTTTTTGTCTCCATTTTTGCTAGTGCCCAAGTAAGCTAATCAATGTTCTATTTGAGAGTGACTGTCTTCCTATTTATTTAGGCAATATTAATATAAAGTGCATTTTTTCCAAGCTTACTTCATATCAAGAGTGAGCAGAAGGCAAGTCTGGATCTACTAGAAGATCATTGAATTATTACCAGTAGGTCTACAAGAATTTCTGGTCTCCCGATTTGCATTACAGTAACAGCAACTCAACACCACCTCTTCTATGCTCAGTTATATTGGTGAAATAAACCAAATGCAGGGTAACCAGAAGTTGATTATTGTGTGGAAGGATTGTGACTTCCCTTCTACTCCAGCACTTACTCTTTCAGCCCAAGGGCAAAGTTCAGTTTTAGAAAAGTTCTAACGAAGCTACCCGCTTCATGGATTGCTGCCTTGTCGTGGCGAAGGGGCT